TACATGTACATGTTGATTGATTATTTAGGCCTGTTTACACAGGCCAGGTGTATTGCAGATCCCCCCCTCCACTCAAGGAGTGGCTGAAGGGTTTAAGATACATCWCGGATTGTCTGGCTTCATGCTGACCAGACTGGCGAGCTAACCATATTAGCGGATCYGGAGATACAACACCTATCATCTGTGAAAACTTCTGAACTGGTTGGAGATTCAGCCCAACAGTCTTCMCTGACRGAACTGGATATTTATTTTTTTGTTTTTCCTTTCATCATCAACAAAGACTGATTGGCTTTCTTGGATTAAGGAACCCTTTTGAACTCTAAATTGTGGACTAATTTGTATATATTGTAAATATCAATACAACTCACTGATTTTGCACCATCTACTTGTCTTTGTGTTTTTGCAATTTGCCACCTCCTCCAGCAGACGAACCTAGTTTTTAAGAAATCACTTGGATTGACATTAGTTTGGATTATTTCTATAATCTTAGAATGTAACTTGGGTTGCATAAGGCTGTGGCAAAACAGCCTTATGTGTCTTGTGAATTTTAGTTAAACTTTAAGGTGTGAAATGTCATAGAAAACTATTAGAACCTAAAAAAGGTAATAAAACACTGAGGTCAGAATAACTAATGTTTTATTTTACGATCAATCTTGAATTGAAGTAAACTTAGTGTGTMTAAGTTTACAGTTTAAGAACAAACCTCAAACAGTAGGCAGAAACACACACACACAAAAAAAACCTCAGTAATGTTTTGTCCTGTAACCTTAAACATGATCCAACTTGTGTGATTTGAAAGCATGTGATCTAATAGCAGAGCTGTTCAGATACTGGGCCATAATGTGCTTTGACATATGCACAGAAAGTAGGCAGGTAATCCTAGAAGTCCCCTGAGCGTTGCAGCTTCCCCAACATGTGCTAATGTGTCTGGTTATTGGGAAGGAGAGGCAGGTGAAGAAAGACACATTAAAAGGTTAAAAAGTGCATTAAAAATGAGAATTAACTGAACAAAACATGGTTGTATTTAAATGACTGTATGTCTAAGTGAAAAAATGAAAAGTATACAGTTACTTTGCCTGCTGGCTTGTGTAGATCTGAGCTTCAGAAATTCAATCCCTTCAACACCTCWGCTGTGAGAACGGATGGCTCTCACCAGATTAGTGCTGTGATGCCTGACTTTTAAAAAGAAGARCCCAAAGAGCTTAAGGAACGACTGAGAGCCAAATGAGAGCAACGTCTCCAGACATACAGTATTACTATTTAAGATGTTTTAGTTAATGTAAGTCTTTCTTTCATGTTATATCAACCTAAACAATAAACCCTGAACCCCCCAAAAAACAAAAGTTAATTTTAAACAGGTGAGGAACATCGTTCTTTGTACTTTTTTGTTGTTGTTTTGGCAGCAGGTGATGGTTTTGTCAGAAAAGCAACATTTTGTTTGTAATTTTTCAAAAAAAAGGCAGCATTTCTTTTCTTTCTTTGCTTAACTATCATACACTGTATGATAGTTTAAACATAATTTAAAGCTGTAGGATTAGTTCATCTATGACATTCATTTAAAACTACTTCACTGCAGACCAATTTTAAAATACTCTGAAAAAATGGTATTCGCGTATCAAACCTTATATTCAAAGGGTCACAACTGATTTCTGGATAAGTTCAAAAGTATAAAACCACAGAAGCCGAGAGTGGATGTTGTCCACGTATCATTTTTCCTGATGGTTTTCTCGAAATAACAAATTAATTATGTCATTATAACGAAAAAACATAGACCGTTTTCTTGAGATAATGATATGATTTTTCCATTATCATGAGAAGAAATTGTTTTCTCGACATAACGAGATGATTATCTTTTTTTGAATGCATGAGCAGTTTTTCAGTGTTCTTAAAACCGAATCTTAAGAATGAACTCAAGCTGAAAATGTCAGGAGAACCTGGCATTGATCAACCCATCAGACTTAAGTTCTATCGAGGTCTAAAACAGGCTGAAATTTCAGTTTTTGTCTTGTACAGATAACTTGTATCAGCCCTCTTCATTTAAGCAGAGGGCTGGCCCAACTGCAGCTCAGCAGGTGATGCACTGAAGTGATCGTGCTAATACCGTATAATAGACTTTATCAGTGACCAGCTGAAGGGACGACATGTCGCTATCTCGAGAAAACCAAGGGAGAAATTTTTGAGGAAAATGCCTGCTCTTGGCTTCTGTACAGAACATGGTAATCCTTTTTCATAAAATTTGCTTCCAACTTCCCAATAAAAGCAATGGCACCATTTACCAATTGYTTGTTTGTGGCCCTAAGCTGCTGCAACCTTTGACAGTAAATGTTAACATAGTAGTTTTAAAGAATTTTGAACTCATACGTTACCAACTTCATTACTCTTCATGCCCTGACGGGGGCTGCAGTAGATCATTGATCCGTGCCGTGGTCTTATAATTTTAAAGCAGAAACTTCGAGCTCAGATTGCATCAAGAAGGCGTAAAATAAAGTCTTTTGTTTGAGTTTGTTCACTGTGGAGACTCTGCAGAGGGAGCAGCTGAAAGGAAAAACAACTTTTCATGCCCGAAACAAGATAAAAGTGTCAAATTTTCACACAAGAATAAACTTATTAAATAAAAYTAACCTTAAAGGCACAGTGTGTAGGATTTTGTCAATTCTTTTAGCTGAAATTGAGATAATCACTAATGACAATAATAAAAAAACATGTCTAATCATTGCAGACAAAGACCTTGTTTTAATATTTTTACCTTATAAAAAGCTGTTTATATCTCCATGGACGAGGGTCGCCACTACAGGCAGCCGCCATCTTGTCTACGAAGGCTCATGAAGGACAAACTGCGGTGGCGGTGTCAAAAACGGTTTTAGTTGTAATACTATAAATGTAATATTTGTTGTCTGTCATTGTAGCTGGGATAATTTTACTTATTAAAGCTCATAATCTTACCACTTGAAACATCACTAGCCCTGAAGCTGCTGGTAGACATCGCGGTTGGAATTATCAAAGGTTTTTGACACCTGAGAGACACCGTAGCAACTCCTTCGCGTTTGGAAGCGGGGGGTGGGGGTGGGGGGGGGACCAGGGAGGATGATTCAACCACTAGATGTCGCTGAAAACAACAAATCCTACACACTGTGCCTTTAAGGCAACAAGACTAATGTATCTGTGAGGAACCCCCCCAATGACGCAGTGCTACATTGTTGACACTGTGCTTCTGTGTGTCTTGCCTCTCCAGAAACATAACCCTTGTCTTTAAACAAGGCAACACTTGTCCATGTACAACACGTGTGTATATGAACTGAAACGCATTTTGTTGAGGTCCTCCCATGGACAGCCAGGTCCCCCAATCTCTACCCAGCTAAGCAAGTGTGGGATCAGCTCAGACATAAACTCCGACCAGGTTCTGATCTGCTGGATCTTAAGAAACCATTTACAACAGTTGTAGGTTGACTTGTAATACGAGAGGATTCAGTGGCTCTATCATGCACCAAATTTCCATTTGTCTCCAGGCCTGATGGGGAACGACACATGGAACCACAGGTACTGGTGACCTTTCAACGTGCAGCTTTGTTTCATATGCACACTTCCATCTGTACTCATCTTCTTTAGTTAGTGAGTGCACATCAGTTTGTACCTGAAGAGGAGGAGGAGGTGAGTCACTCTGCTGTCCAGTCTGCCCTTAGTTCAACATCTGGCTCCTCCTCAGTAATGCTCATTTCACTGAGGGTAAAACATGGTTAAAAAATAAACATATTTGTAATTATTTTCCAGCCAATACACATTAATCAAGACTAAATAAACCCCAAACAGTCTGTCCGTTTCCTACCTGCACTCAGGTTTGCTCAGTTGTGTTGTCTCGTAGATGTTTCACTCTTCTAAATCTGAATTGTCTCTGTAACAAGAAAAGAAAGCATTCACATATAAATGATAATTGTAAAAGCAGAATAAAACTGAGCAATATTAGGCTAAATCATATTGTGTACAATTAATCATCAGAAAGACTGTCAACAATTAATGCTGGCCAGTTAGCAAATACTTCAATTATTAGTGCCACATGATGACACTATCAGGGGAGCACGTGAGCCCAATGGCAGAAGGAAGTGCAGAGCAGCTAATGCTAACCCTAAAATGTATGCTGCGTAACTGCATCAGCAACAAGTAGGAGGATATAACCGTTTTTAGACCAGTCCCCCAGCTCATGGACCAGCATTATAGTAATGCCAAATTTTACATATAAACCAGAAAGGAAAACTAACCCTAACCTCAGTGAACTGTAAACAGTCACCAGAAGAATTCTTGTCACTGTAAACATCCTTTATACACCTACCAGACCGCACCCTAGGGCTGCGCGGTATATGCGGTAGACAGTAGAAACAGTATGAAGTTAGCCTAGGGTAGAAATTTACGCTCTACCGTCATATCGTCATTACGTCATCGCACCTGTGTGAACAGGGCTGCGAGTGCAGAGACAACTGAGCAGGAGAAGTTCGAAACATAATGAAGAAATTCTAACGTTTTAAAAACACGTGTAGAGAGGATAAATCCTCAAAATATCCCCCTTCCACTGTAGAAAAGTTACGTCGTGTCGCGGGATCATAATCTCTTCCTCTCCTCTATATACCGTTACCATGAAGGGGTACAGTTTATACCGTGATATGAATTTGAGGTCATACCGCYCAGCCCTACCACACCCCCAACTATTCCTGACCATTCCCCTACACCTACWCTCACTGGAAGATGCCAGCCATTTTCCTCTACATCTTAAAAGATGGTTCCTTCTTTCCAATGGAAGATGGCTGTGCCTGCTGAAGACTAGTCTGTGCCTCAAATTGCAAGAAAAGGAGCACATTTTAGTCACTGTCTCTGTGAATTCTGGTGTAGAGGCCTCTGCGTGGTCCATCTGAACTGCCGAAATGAAAATGAAAATTTAAAAACGTATAGGTTGACATGGCTCTGAAGGAGAGCATGGATGGTTGTCTTGATGTGGCTCTAAAATGGACATGTGACCTGTCCAGGTTGTGCACTGCTGCGGACGGGCGTGAGCTCTCTGGAAAAGAAAAAGGAGGTAAAGAAAGTGGATGGATGGCTCTGAAGAAAAATTGTGATAAAACATGAAAGATGGCATCCATGTGTCACATTTCTACCAGGGCTTGCGTAGGGTGGGGATCTGGAAGGTATTTTGGAGGAGAATGTAAAAAACAGATTGTGGTTGAAAATCCTGGATGTGTGAGATAACATCTCTCCATCACAAACCTTTCGTCTGTCAGAAATGCAGACACAGAGGTGTAGATGTGGGCGTGGAGGAGGAGCAGGTACAACAATGAAGACTTACAAAGAGGTATGCAGTGAGATTTAATGATGGCACATTTTTTTAAGAATCAGCAGAAGGTGAAAAGCTAAAAGAACGGCAAAAGAATAAAACCACACTCCTTACTTTCAACAAACGCATTCTAAAGGATATGGCACTTAAGTGTCACCACATTTAGCAGCTGGAATGCAGACAAAACTCGTCTACAAGCATCGCCTACTTCAAAGCACCATGTATCAAACATCCTCTGAGAGGATATTCACATCCTGTCCTTATCTCAATTACACTGAGAAAATTTCAGTCTTTTCCATCAAATGTTAATATCTGATCCACTGTAATGTTTTCCAACTGGTTAACAGCTTTATTTGTTTGCTCTATGCTACCAATGTTTCTAATTTCATTTGTCTAATTTCTCCTCACTTCAGATGAACCAGACAAAACAAAGACAATGCGAGATTAAAAGACTTCAGAGAAATGTCCCTGCAAAATGTTATTCTGATAAATACATTTATTTTAATGTTACCATCAAAGATCAAAAAGTTTTTTTTCAAAGTATATCCAGCTTTTCATGGCATTCTTTGAAATAATGCATACCAGGAGTTCTGCGCTGCAGTTTCTCGAGTATAAAGAACGTCACACAACCACGTCAGCAAGAATGGCTCTTCTACAACCTGTCAAGTATTTAGCAGGATTGTGTAGCAACTTCAGCAAACACAAAACACAATCCATGAAATGCTTGGCCTTACTTATTCCATTTTTTTCATTAATACTTCAACACACATGGTGTAGATGCTTAGTCGTTTAGGACAGCAAATTCTAAAAGTTAAATAACAAAACAACAGGACTTTAGCTCTGTAGTAAAAGATGTTTCACTTCCCATCTGGGRAGTTTTCTCAATACTAATAAATACAAATGGATTCATGTTTGATTCCAATATTGAAAAAGTTTCCCTGATGGCACTTGAAACGCACTGCAAAAAATGCCCACCTAACCGAGTTTTAAAATCTCATATCCAGCCAAAACGTCTTTTTGATCTTGTTTTGAGACTGATTTTCTAAACAAGAACTGATTGTGTAATCTTGTTTTCAAAATTTGTAAGATTATTTGTCTTGTTAGCCTGAAAATTTGACTCAAATTAAGTCAAAAAYTTCTGCCAGTGGAGTAAGAAAATTTTACTTGGTAAGATTCTTGAAATACTTGATTTGACTCAATTTTTTCTTATTTCAAGAATCTTACCAAGTAAAATTTTCTTACTACACTGGCAGAAATTTTTGACTTAATTTGAGTCAAATTTTCAGAATAACAAGACAAATAATCTTACATGTTCTGAAAAAAAGATTATTATTCTTACACAACCAGTTCTTGTTTAGTAAATCAGTCTCAAAACAAGATCAAAAAGACTTTGGCTGGATATAAGATTTTAAAACTTGGTTAGGTGGACATTTTTTGCAGTGCGTCTATCACTACAGAATACAAGTTCAGTCCAGGTCAGTTGAGTTTTTTATGGATTCTTGGAATTTACGTCATCACAAAGCTGTGTGTGAAATGGTGGGGGATTTACAGTTTTATTTTTCATCATTTTTAATAAAAATACATTTGTTCTACACACAACTTTAAGGTGTAAACTGCCTGTTCAGGCAAATTAAACTAGTTTTCTCTGTACTTGACTGATCAATTTGTCTTTCTGTATTTTCACAACACAGCTGTCATCTAATATCTATGTTGTTTTCTTTATAGGTAAAAATCTTCAGTGTTTTTTTTCTAAATGTCTTGACCATTTTCTTTGCTAAACAAAACTGGAGACATTTAAATAGAAGAGGAAAAAATACATTAACCAGCTGTTCAAATACCGTTGGCTAGCTTACAAAACAAATACACGTTTAAGCCCATGTGAATTAGAAAAAAATAATATAATGTTGAGCACCAGAGGACAACTTCATTTTCATGGTCTGGTTCCTCTCAAAAAGTGGTGGGCAGAACGATCTGCTGAGAGAACATGGGCCTTGGCAAATCACCACAGTGTCGGAAATAAGGATGCTTGTGCCAAGGCAAACAGAGTGACTTAATCTCATGTCATCCTCCAGAAGGACAAGTGCGTCCTGTGAGGGCTGGGAGGGCATGCCGGCACTGGGTTAACCTAAAAGAGCTGTCTGGCTCCACCTCACAGCTCAGTCTGTACCCAGGAAAAAGTGACAAACCAAGAATACACATCATGTTTCCAACAAATTCTGCAGACCAAACTGTGCTCACCAATATTAGAGTAACAGTTAAAGATTCATTGAAGGAATGCATGTCACCCGCCAGCTTTTGTTCCAGAGTCTCAAACTAAGATCATCTTGTGATGAGGAATGACAGAGTTTAAACAGTTTTGGTCAAACCTTGAAAGTAACAGTATGCACCACTTCATGCATCAGTTAGAGCTCAAAGTTAGGATTGAGTCAGCTACTACCACACCAAGGGTTAGTTGAAAATCTATAAAAATGACTGAATTTTAATACTTGTGTTTTCTAAAGTCAGGTAGCTGTGTAGTGTTGAATTAGGTTGGTTAAAAAACTAGATAGCTGTAGTTTTTTATAGTGGTAACATAACGACCCCCGCACACACAAATGCACCAGAACTCAGAAGTCTTTATTCCTAATAAATGTCATGATACTAGGTGCATCCCAAGATTGTAGTGGTTTGGGTTGGGGTCTTAATATTATTATTTTTGGGTGGG